ATCTGTTCAAAAAATTATTACCTCACTTTAGTTGGCTGCACAAGGATCTGTTTATTACCGTACATATTTACTCCAGCTGAAAGCCTGACTGAACGTGCCTTAATATTTCTATTGAGTCATATCAATTTATTTTTTGAAATAATTACCCCATCTTTCATTCACAAGTGCCACTGAAGGTGATTCACAATACTGATCAATACCAGGTAACATAGTGGCCTACACCCAACATTTCTTCATTTACAGCAGGGGTAGGCAACCTTTCCCCTTTAAGGGCCGAGGGACTTCAGCTCCCAGAATCCCAGGAGCTATTGGCCAACATGGGACTATTGGCCAACATGGCTGAGGCTTCTGGGAGCTGAAGTCCCTCGGCCCTTAAAGGGGAAAGGTTGCCTAACCCTGATTTACAGTACTCACGATTTTGTCAGAAGGCTCTGATATGCAAATATAAATAATACTGAAGAATAAGAAGGGCAATCAGTGTATTCTATCCAAAATATTTCAAGCTACAGTATCTATGCAAGCAAAATATTGCCTTTTATTTTAAAAAAGGATGGTATGGTAGTTCCATAAATGTTGCCATTGAACAAGAATATTAAAGAATCAAAGTAAAGCAGAATTTATTAGAACTGCATTCTGAGATTTAAAAAAAATGTTTTTTAACTGGATTTGCATAAATCTTTAAAGTCTCATGCAGGAAGACAAAGAAAAACAGAAAATTCTGACTGGGAATTAAAGGCAAAGTTTGGAATGATAAGTGATAAAAAGGCAGCCTTAATCTAGTACACATTTAAGCAGTATATATAAAGAAATAGCTTTTCTGTGAGTCGACAAACAGAAGATTCAAACAAAAACCCATCAGACAGTGATACCTTTATTGGCCAACCAAAATGCACAATATACTTATTGCAAGCTTTTGAAACTCCACTGGCTTTTTTTATCAGACACGATGTTACAAACAGGAGAAAAAATTGGAGATGTTGGTCAGATGCCTGCATTTTGATGTTTCTGTCCTTATTTAAGATGGTAAGTGGAGGGTATATTTTGCAGGGTGGCCCCTGCTCCTTCTGGCCATGTGGCTATTGAGAGATTTGCAAAGACCAAGAAATTTAAAGCCTATTTGAATCTCAACAAAGACCCCTCTCTTGCAATCCAATATGCCTCCATTCCTCTGAGGTCACAGGCCTCCTAGGGCAGAAATCTCAAAATGCAGGCATCTGACTAACATCTCCAATTTTTTCTCCTGTTTGGTTTGTAACATCGTGTCTGATGATGAAACCAGTGGAGCTTCGAAAGCTTGCAATAAGTATATTGTGCATTTTGGTTGGCCAATAAAGGGATCACTGTTTGATGGATTTTTGTTTGAATTTACTAAATGGCCAACACAGCTGCCCCTGCATGTTTCCTGACAAAAAGAAAGAGTTATTACTACCAAAGCTGCAATTTTACAATGCAGATTTACCTAACAATCAGTACTACACTTTTTAATGTACAGCAATATAGAGGATACTTCAGTTCGGCAAGTAGGATACGCAAACACTTGCCATGTACAGTATTTCTATCTTCCTTGGCAAGAGTTTATATTATGTGATGGACAGAGAGGCCTTTCTTCCAGTACAAATACTGATCAGCACTCCTTCTAATGAACAGACACGATTTGCTCAAACCAAGACTGTTCGCCCCATGAACATTGTGCATTTTTTCCTGCAGGGAATACTGTACAAACGAGTTCCTCGCCTCAATCAGTCCCTCCTTTATTAGAAATGCACGTCACATCTGATTAAGTTACCAGGGAAAAGTGTGGTTGCACTTAACAGCTTTCCACTTCCACGCCAAGGAAGAATTTAACAAGCAGAGAGGAAGAGAGCAGTCTAACTTGTTCACCGTAGTGCTACACTTCACGTCTGTCACTCCCACAAGCCAATCATTACACTAGAATTGTCAACTTGTACGCTTATGAAATTTCTTACCAGTTACAACTGAAACCAGGGGTGGGACTTCCACTATCAACTTAGTCTGAAGTATCACTGCCTCTCGAAAACGCACGATGGTTTCTAGGCCTTAAAGCACTGGTTGCAAGCAAAAAATATATAAAATAAAGTCTCTTAACTCAAGCACACAGGGCGGTCTCACTTCTTTTAGTTTCAGTGAACTGAAGACCAAAATATTGAAACTCGTTTTAAAAAGTATTTTGAAGAAGGTTCTCTCTTCCAAACCATACATTAAAAAAAAAATAATCTTTATCCTGGTTATAGGAATGGTTTAATCTGCCAAAAGGACAGTACAAAAGCCTGATAACATTAAGCTCTGATTACAGACCTGTGCATGTTTCTGAAGGTCACGTAATGCTGACTATACTAGTTATTTATTTAATAATTATAAATAAATAAATATACTATGCATCAGAGCTGACTAAAAGTCTGCAATTAGTTATGAATGTCTTCAATACTTTTGTGAAGTTTCAGCAGAATAATCCAAGGACTGTATACTTTCACTAACAGATTTTACTCTTATGACAAAAAGATGAAAGAATGCTAGTTAAAATGTAATTGTATAAAACTATTAACTAGTTCTTTTGACTTTATGTGCCCAGTCATCAAAGGGACATTGTTTGACATTAATGTAAAGACCATCAAGGCTAGACAATAATCCAAGTGCAGTTTAAGACTATTAGCCCAGTTCCTTTTCCCCACAGCAGTCGTAAATTTACTTGCCTACATCGTCATGACTGTATAGCAAGAGTAGTTTTTGAAATATGAAAACTTTTAATTAAAGTATATGCCAACCTTTCATGGAAGTTCTACATACTGAGTTGTAATGGTGGCTTAAACCACAATTTCTCTCACAGTGTTCATTTGTTAGATAACCTGTTGCTTACTTTCCTTTTCTGAGCAAATTATGACCAGATTCCCTTCATATCCACTTATAAATTTGACAAGATTCGGAAGCAATTTTTAAAAAAGAAATAAAGGAGCTAATTTCCAGAAGACTAGCAAGAGACATTTTTAAAATCTGAGTGAGCAGAACAATGGCCTTGGAACAACATGGAGTCGGAAAACACTTTTCTGGAGTTTTCAACATGGGCAAATTGCACACATTTCAAACATTAACTAGGGCAGATCTGAAGAAGGACTATCTCAGATACACTTTGTGATCTGCTCATATTGTAACTCTCAATTAAGTAGTGAGGAACAACAACACCCCCATACTGTACTATGACCAGGGAAATGGATTCTGAGGTGCAGAATAACAAGGGTTGCACAAGGCCATTTTTTTTTTTTTGGGGCAAGGCAAAAAAGTACATGCTTACAAAAAAAACAAAAAAACAAAAAAAACCAACCCTGCTCACAAATGGACATAAGATCTTTGAGAACAGTGGGCAAAGCAAAGGATGGCTATAGTGCCCAATTTAGTCCCTCAAACTCATTAGGCCACTTTGGAGGGTAGCTGGGCGGCTTGGGATGTTCCAGATCACCCTCATCTGGTTTTCAAAGCTTGACAGGTATGTATAAATAGAAAAATCCCTGCAGAGATTGAGGACATCAGGGTGCTTACTAAACCCTTGTCTTCGCCAGCTAAGGGCACCCTGTAGCTCTGTGGCTACTAAGGACTTACTAAGGCAAGGAAAGGACTTATGGCCAGTGTGTGTGTGTGGTGAGGGAGAGCCAGCGTGGCACAGGGGTTTGAGTGTTGGGCTACCAGACTCTGGAGACCAGTGTTTGATTCATTGCTTGGCCATGAAACGCACTGCCTTGGGCAAGTCACACTCTCTCAGCCTCCTCAGGGGAAGGAAATGGCAAACCTCTTGTGAACAACTCATGCCAGAAAGCCCCACGGTAGCCTCGCCTTAGGGTCACCATAAGTCAGAAATGACTTGAAGGCACCCAACAACAACAGATATATTTATATGGGGAAAGGCCATGGCAAACCTCCTCCAAACCAAATCTTGCCAAAAAAAAAAAAACACACACAAACCACCCTAGGATAGGTTCGTCTTAGGTCAGAAAGGGATTGAAGGCCCTTAACAACAGCAACAGTATGGTGAGGGAGGCAGAAGATGAGGAGAAGGGGAACCATTTGCCAGCCCAGAAGCACCAAGGACTTTGGGGCCACATCTGGGCCACCATTAATGGGTCAGTGGCGACCATGCTTGCTTCTTCCCAGAAACTCCTCTCCCTTCCCCAGCTGCCACCACCAACGCCAGCTTTTGACGACATTTTGTGGAAACCGGAAAAGAGAGAGAGAAAGAGAGCTACTACAGTACT